CTACCCTCCTCCTTCCTCCTCCTCCTCCTCCTCCTCCCTTCCTCCTCCTCCTCCTCCTCCACCCTCTTCCGCCTCCGCCCCTCCTCCTCCCCATCCTCCTCCTCCTCCGCCTCCACCTCCTCCTCCTTCCCTCCTCCACCTCCTCCTCCTACTCCTACCTCCTCCTCCACCTCCGCGACATCCCTCCTCTCCCCTGCGTCTTCTTCTCCTCCTGTGTTTTTCCTCCTCCTCTTCCTCTCCGCCCTCCCCTTCTCATCTCCGACCTCCTCCTGTTACCTCCCCAAGACCTCCTCCTCCTCCTCCTTCGCCCTCCCTCTTCCGCTTCCTTCCTCCTCCTCCCCTCCGCCTATCCACCTCCTCTTCGCCTCCTCCGCCCTCCTCCCTCTCCACCCCTCCTCCTCCTCCCCTCCCTCCTCCTCCTCCTCCTCCTCCTCCTCCTCCTTCTCAGCCTCCTCCTCCTCTTCCTCCTTCTCCTCCTCCTCCTCCTCCTCAGCCCGGAAAGCGCGCGCGGAGCAGGGGGGTGCTCCCCTGCTCCCCTGCTCCCCTCCGCGTCGGTGGCGCTCCTGGGGCCCAAAGGAGGAATCGTGACCTGGGTTTTTGCCTGTGGCGCTCCTGGGGCCCAAAGAAGGAATCGTGACCTGTTTTTTTGCCTGTGGCGGCTTTTTTTTGCCTTGCGCGCCGGGCCCTCGGACCCTGCCGGAGAGCGCGCGCGGGGCGGGGAGGTGCTCCCCTGCTCCCCTGCTCCCCTCCGCGTCGGTGGCGCTCCTGGAGCCCAAAGAAGGAATCGTGACCTGGGTTTTTGCCTGTGGCGCTCCTGGGGCCCAAAGAAGGAATCGTGACCTGTTTTTTTGCCTGTGGTGCTTTTTTTTTGCCTTGCGCGTCGGGCCCCCGGACCCTGCCGGAGAGCGCGCGCGAGGCGGGGGGGGTGCTCCCCTGCTCCCCTGCTCCCCTCCGCGTCGGCGACGCTCCACAGGCAAAAACTATTTTTTTTGCCTGTGGTGTTTTTTTGTTTTGCCTTGCGTGTCTTTTTTTTTGCCTTGCGCGTAATCTCTGTCGCCTCCAGGGGTTGCAGTCTATCCTCTCGCTTGGGCGAGGGAGGCCCTTTCAGCTTGTTGGTGCGAGGGCCACAGCAACTGGTTCCGCTGTCTCGTCTTGCAAGCCTTACAACTTCTTGGGGGTCGATGTACTGCGCGTTCTGGCCATGAAAACTTTTGCGGGCCCCTGTCCGGAGAAGCCCCAAGGGCGCTGCCTGATCGGGCCTGGGCGGGGGCGACACCCTGGGAAAAGGAGCGGGGGGACCGTGCGATCGTCGCCCGTGGGTCTTCTGGCCACGCACCCCCTGGAGCGCGGGCGGAAGACCCGCTGCTAGGGCGGAGTAAAGGGCCGCGCCGAGGGCGGGCGGAACGAAACAGGGAGGGGCAGGGCGAAGGTGACTTTCCCCCATCCATCAGCTTTCCTGTGTGTGTGCTTTGCTTGACCTGACGTGCACTGCTTTTCATTGCGTTTCGTTGCTATGCGTTGCTTTGCAGTGCTTCGCAATCCTTTGCGTTGCTGTGCATTGCTTTGTATTGCTGTGCCTGGCGGTGCAATTACTTGCGTTGTTATTTGTTGCCAGGCATATATTGGGACACATAGGTCACATCATATACGTATACATGTACTGCACAACATGTCTTGCACAACCTGTATGTCACCACGTGTATTGCACAACATAAACTGCACAGCATCTATTATTCAAACTGGGGTGCACCACGCTGTTCCTTCATATACATTGCACCACATGTATCGCAACACCTATGCAGCACAACATAAACAGCAATTCATATATTACACAACACCGAGTGGACCACATGGACGTTTACAACATAAACGTAGATATAACACCATCTACTATACATCGTATATTGCACACCATGGGTTGCACTACATTGATTGCTTGACGTATTGCACAACATGAATAGTACCACATGCATTGAACAACATACATTGCACACCGTATTTTGCACAGTATAACTTGCACCACATATGCACGACATATGTTGCTCCACATGAAGTGCGCAAGGTATGTTGCTCATTATGGACCGCACCACATACATAGCAATACATACACTGCACAGCATGTGTTGCACAATCTACTTGCTCCCAAAATATTTCACGACACATATATATATATAGAGAGAGAGAGACAGAGATTGCACATACACACGTACATACACACTGTTCGGGGCCCACGCTGGCAAACCCTGTTCTTCCTCGACCAGCTGAAGATTCACTGCCCGAGGCCACTCGCCCTCGGGGCCCCACCCCTCGGGGCCTCACCCTCCACAGACCTCTGGCCGCTTCCATGCTGCTCGATGCGCGGGCCCCGGAGGCCAGGACCGCTTCCCCAGGGCCGGTTTGGAGGCCCGCGTCGTCGTTTGTTCCCAACCATCCTGTGGTGTTGGGTCCTCGTTTTGAAGAAACGGTCCCCGCGTCCTCCTCTCCTCCTCTGCCCCCTCCTCCTTGCTACCGCCCGCATGCGTCACCCACACCCAATTCGGCACACCCCTCACACGTTTCGTGGCCCCATAGGAGCTCCGCCGAAGGCCCCAGTGCTGCCGCCCGCATGCGTCACCCACACCCACTTCGGCACACCCCTCACACGTTTCGTGGCCCCATAGGAGCTCCACCGAAGGCCCCAGTGCTGCCGCCCGCATGCGTCACCCACACCCAATTCGGCACACCCTTCACACGTTTCGTGGCCCCATACGAGCTCCACCGAAGGCCCCAGTGCTGCCGCCCGCATGCGTTACCCACATCCAATTCGGCACACCCCTCACACGTTTCGTGGCCCCATAGGGAGCTCCGCCGAAGGCCCCAGTGCTGCCGCCCGCATGCGTCACGCACACCCAATTCGGCACACCCCTCACACGTTTCGTGGCCCCATAGGAGCTCCGCCGAAGGCCCCAGTGCTGCCGCCCACATGCGTCACCACACCCAATTCGGCACACCCCTCACACGTTTCGTGGCTCCATAGGGAGCTCCGCCGAAGGCCCCAGTGCTGCCGCCCGCGTGCGTCACGCACACCCAATTCGGCACACCCCTCACACGATTCGTGGCTCCATAGGGAGCTCCGCCGAAGGCCCGTGCTGCCGCCCGCATGCGTCCCGCACACCCATTTCGGCACACCCCTTACACGTTTCGTGGCCCCATAGGGAGCTCCACCGAAGGCCCCAGTGCTGCCGCCCGCATGCGTCACGCACACCCAATTCGGCACACCCCTCACACGCTTCGTGGCCCCATAGGGAGCATCGCCGAAGGCCCCAGTGCTGCCGCCCGCATGCGTCACGCACGCCCAATTTGGCACACCCCTCACACGTTTCGTGGCCCCAAAGGGAGCTCAACCGAAGGTCCCGGTGGGTGTGTCCGCATGCGTCCCGCACATTCATTTCGGCACACCCCTCACACGTTTCGTGGCCCCATAGCGAGCTCCACCGAAGGCCCAGTGCTGCCGCCCGCATGCGTCCCGCACACCCATTTCGGCACACCCTCACACGTTTCGTGGCCCCATAGGGAGCTCCGCCGAAGGTCCCAGTGGGTGTGCCCGCATGCGTCCCGCACACCCATTTCGGCACACCCTTCACGCGTTTCGTGGCCCCATAGGGAGCTCCGCCGAAGGCCCCAGTGGGTGTGCCCCCATGCGTCCCGCACACCCATTTCGGCACACCCTTCACGCGTTTCGTGACCCCTCACACGTTTGTGGTCCCATAGGGAGCTCCACCGAAGGCCCCAGCGGGTGTGCCCGCATGCGTCCCGCACACCCATTTCGGCACACCCCTCGTACGTTTCGTGGCCCCAAAAGGAGCTCCACCGAAGGTCCCAGCGGGTGTGCCCGCATGCGTCCCGCACACCCATTTCGGCACACCGCTCACACGTTTCGTGGGCCCATTCGTGGCCCCGTAGGGGGCTCCACCGAAGGTCCCAGCGGGTGTGCCCGCATGCGTCCCGCACACCCATTTCGGCACACCCCTCACACGTTTCGTGGCCCCATAGGGAGCTCCGCCGAAGGCCCCAGTGGGTGTGCCCGCATGCGTCCCGCACACCCATTTCGGCACACCCTTCACGCGTTTCGTGACCCCTCACCCGTTTTGTGGTCCCATAGGGAGCTCCACCGAAGGCCCCAGTGGGTGTGCCCGCATGCGTCCCGCACACCCATTTCGGCACACCCCTCGTACGTTTCGTGGCCCCAAAGGGAGCTCCACCGAAGGTCCCAGCGGGTGTGCCCGCATGCGTCCCGCACACCCATTTCGGCACACCGCTCACACGTTTCGTGGGCCCATTCGTGACCCCGTAGGGGGCTCCACCGAAGGTCCCAGCGGGTGTGCCCGCATGCGTCCCGCACACCCATTTCGGCACACCTCTCACACGTTTCGTGGCCCCATAGGGAGCTCCGCCGAAGGCCCCAGTGGGTGTGCCCGCATGCGTCCCGCACACCCATTTCGGCACACCCCTCACACGTTTCGTGGCCCCGTAGGGAGCGCCACCGAAGGCCCCAGTGGGTGTGCCCGCATGCGTCCCGCACACCCATTTCGGCACACCCTTCACGCGTTTCGTGACCCCTCACACGTTTTGTGGTCCCATAGGGAGCTCCACCGAAGGCCCCAGTGGGTGTGCCCGCATGCGTCCCGCACACCCATTTCGGCACACCCCTCGTACGTTTCGTGGCCCCAAAGGGAGCTCCACCGAAGGCCCCAGTGGGTGTGCCCGCATGCGTCCCGCACACCCATTTCGGCACACCCCTCACACGTTTCGTGGCCCCATAGGGAGCGCCACCGAAGAAGATATTCACAATTGCGGTACTCATCATTGCATATGGTTGGGTCCTTCGCCAGGATATTTTGTTGCCCCCGAGGCCCGACGAGGGCCCTGGAGGCCGCCAGCGGACCCCCAACTTACCCGCCGCTCCAATTCTTGTCGGAGCGGCGTCGAAGCGGCGGCGCGCGGGGGGCGCGTGGGCCGGC